GAGGCATGGAATCCTAGCTAGGACTGGGGGGGCCATGGCACTGATGGGGATCTGGCTTTCTCTGCTTGGGGTGGCCTTTGGCTTGCTGGGTGTGGGCATGCTCTACCACCTCTACTCGAGCTTGCTAGCTAGCCGCTTCACCTCCTTTGTGCTGAGTGGGCTGCTGCTCCGGGCGGCTGTGGCAGCCTAATGGACCTGCACAAGCTGCTGGGCTCTGAGTGCTGCCTCTGGCACACGTGCCATAGGTTCGCCACCACTGGTATAAGGTTTCCTCCCTGAGCAGGGGGCTAGACTAGATGACCTCCAAGGTCCCTTCCAACTTTATTATTATTGTTATAACTATCAAATGGCATTTGGTTCCTAACAAAATATGCCCGTAGGAATGGGACCTTCAACATAACCATCCACTCAACCTGGCTAGATGAATGGTGGAAGGACTGCTTGCTTTTAGCATTTAGTTGCAAAGAAAATTGTGACATATCCATATGAATTTAAGACTTTCAGTGCTGCACAATATTGTGTGGTCTATACCTCCCAGTGCTGTATCTGATCAAAGCATGCAACTGCCAAATTAGCAAAAGTTCTACATTTAAAAGTGATGGGGATTCTCTTCTTTCAGAATATCAGAAATTGGAGTTGGCAATATTGGCCTGGGATCTACAGCAACATATCTCAACATCATGCAGCATTAATTGGATACAGAACAGTTCATTTTTCAAGCAACAGTCCAACTTTCTTTTGGCTGATATTTCAGATTTTCAGGCATTTAAGGAAAGAAGAAACATATTGGCAGTTGTATTTTTCTACTTCTGTAGACGAATGACAGCCCTTGTTTACTAAATTGTAAGCCATATTTTCAAGGACTGAGAGTTTCATAATATGTAAATTCACTCGTGTTCCCAGACAGGCTGTCACACAAGCATACAAATTCATTTCTTTCCTTCCACTATTTGCTACCTCCATAACTTACAGTAGAATTAAATTCAAGAATTTCATTGGAGCTTAATGTCCATAGACTTTATGGCAGGGGTTTCAAACTTGGCCCTTTTATGACTTGTGGACTTCAACTCCCAGAATTACTCATGCCTGGCTGAGTAATTTTGGGAATTGAAGTCCACAAGTCATAAAAGGACCAAGTTTGAAGACCCCTGCCATAGACAAGCATACCTAACCCCTTGTTTTCCAAATTCCGGGATTCAACTCTCACTATAATTCTAAAAATGGGAATTGAGATTTTAATGTATCTGGAAGGGTAGGGAGAAATGATATGGAAAGATTTTTACAAATACTATCCTTTCCCCAGTTCATTTTTGTTTAAAGAGTCTGATTTGGGGAAAGCTGGCTAAAGTCTCCATTTTGGGTGGAAAAAATGATCCAAGTAGTCTCTACCTGTCTGGTCGTCTTGAAGTTACAATGGCACTGAAAAAAGTGACTTATGATGGTCCTTGCACTTACAACCATCGCAATCACCTTGAGGTCGCTTGATTACAATTTGGATACTTGGCAATCATCTCATATATACAATATTCAGTGGTCACATGATTGTCACTTGCAAATTTCTCAACTGGCTTCTGACAAGCAAAGTCAATGGGGAAGCTGGTAGGAGCTTGGAAGTTACTGTGATGTCTCAGTTAATGCCTGCAGCAAAAAGGGCTTAAATTGGTACAATCATGTGATGCCTCACTCAAGGACTGCACTGCTTAGCAATTAATTTTCCAGTCCTAATTAGGTATGAAAGCCAGCTGGGTTAGTTCAACTTCCTGTTCAGGTAGGAGACCCTATACCAGGGGTCTTGAAACCTGGCCCTTGTATGACTTGTGGACTTCAACTCCCAGAATTCCTCAGCCAGCGTGCCTAGTTGGGGATTTCTGGGAGTTGAAGTCCACAAGTCATAAAAGGGCTGAGTTTGAAGACCCCTGCCCTATACCATGTCAGACAAATGATTGTCCAATCTCTTCTTTAAAAACTTCCATTGTTGGAGCATTCACAGCTTCTGGAGGCAAGCTGTTCCACTGGTTGATTATCAATACTGTTAGGAAGTTTGTCTGTAATTCCAGGTTGCTCTCTCCTCAATTAGTTTCTATTCCTTGTTTTTTTTTATCTTACTTTTTAGTGCTTTGGAAAATAAGTTGACCCCTCTTCTTTATGGCAGCTCCTCAAATACTGGAAAGCTGCTATTCTGTTTCCCCTAGTCCTTCTTTTCACAACCTCATGGGGTTGTCATTGTAGGAAAAATAGGAAGAAGGTGTATTGTGTACACTCATAACCTTGAGTTACTGATAAAGTAATAAGGCAAGACAAAACAAAACATTGTGGTTATACAGTATGTTGAGGACTACCTGTACTGCTAAAGCAGCTTAGATGCCCTATGGAAGGTCTCCTTTGTAAGTCTGCAGAGAGCTATCCATGGTCCTGATAACCTAGTCTATGCAGTATTTTGATTGAAAGCCTCCAAGTCTTTTACCTTGAACTGGATCTTTATTTCTTAAACTAGGGATCCCCAACCCCTAGTCTGTGGACTGGTACCAGGCCGCAGCATGCCAACAACTGGTCTGCACAAACAAGCAAAGCCCCATCCATGGGGTGCAGGCAGCACACAAAACCACGCCCCCTCTGCTCCGCGGAAAATCCTCTCTCCATGGAACCGGTCCCTGGTGTCCAAAAGGTTGGGGACCTCTGCCTTAAACCCAGTAAGATTGAAGAATGGTGTATATGTATTACTCCTAGTTCTACTTGCACAAACACTCAGCAGGGCTGTCTATGGGATATATGAAATGTCTGAATATGTGTAATATTTGCCCTTTGCTACCGAGCAGACATGTTGCCAAATTCCTAATATACGTTCTTTGAAATTTTCACAGATGTCTGTGTTAAAGCTTTCACACTTTATTCAATATTGTAGTGCTTTTTTAAAGAAAATGAAAGACAAAAAGTAAAGCAGCAAGAAATAGAAATAGATTTCAGTGCCTATGAAGCATTCGATTTTCCACAAATGATACAAAACAATGTCGCTGGAATTAATTAATATTTCCTACTGTTGCTCAGTTTCTGCAGACATTCAAGCAGAAGAAATGATCTATCCTTCTTCTCCTATTACTTCCTCTCACCTTAATTCATATTACAGATTAAGGGGCCTTCATGCATTACATAAAACCATTTCACCATAACTTTTTTTTTTCAGATCTACTTCTTCTGGTGCTATATTGAAAGTTGTAATAATTGTCCCAATACACCAGGTTGGGGAAGCTCATTTACTGAGAAAAAGTAGAAACTGGAAAGTTTCACCAGCCAAAGAGATAATAACTGTAAAGGAGAATCTGGGGAGATATAGGGCTGCCCTGCATTTGGATCTTTGTTAGAATAAAATGCCCTGCATTTGGATCTTTGTTAGAATAACCTCCTTTTCCAGCATCCAGACCTATGTATTTTTTATATGAATAGATAAGATTTTTTCCAAACACAAAAATTATTTGATGCACTGTGCTTGTAGAAATTCAACCCTAATGACACATTTGATTAAATGTTTTAATTCTTCATTGGCCTACCTTTGAAGAGGATTTGGAACAGTGGTGGGATTCAACTGGTTCACACCACTTTGGCAGAACTGGTAACTAATTTTTTGTTGCCCAGACCCAGAATGGACTTCCGGAAGTGGCATCCACACACAGAACTGGTTGTTCATATATTTGAACCCCACCACTGATTTGGAAGCTGCAGCTCATACAGAAGGTGATGGGGTGAACAGTTTGGGGTGCTCCTGGGATTGTGCACGTAAGACTTTTGTTATGTGAACTTCTGGGTCTGACTCAAAGTGTGAGTTACCACCTGGCTATACAGAACCAGATGATTGGTTCTTGGTGTCTTAAATGTCTGAAACAATAACACAGGAATAGAGAATCCTTGGCTCTTCAGATATGGCTGAATTGTAACTTCCAATTCTTTTCCCAATACTTGTCTGCCAAGAATTTTACTTCAGCAATACCTGAAGGATTATATGCGCTCCGCTAATGTAATGAAATAAAAAAGTATTAAATTGATTAAAACCATGTGCAAAGTGGGTCCTTAATTTCCTTTCCTATCCCTCTGTGATTACCCTATTTATATATTGAGCAGTACATTTGTTAGATATGAATTCTCCAAAGAGCTACAAAGAAGAGCAGATTTTTCTCACTACAGAACTCATGTCACATTATGGAGGATGTCACAGGTTCTGTGATTCTCTTGGTGGCCATGAACATCACAAAGTGACATTGATATGAACATCACAGAGTGACACATTAGCAAGCGCAACTGAGCTGAGAAGATACATCAGACTATCTCAATGACAAAATACCATTATATGAGTGCTGAGAAAATACTGTGTATGAACGAGCAGCTACTGACTTCAATATTCTCCTATAGCGATGGAGAACTAACAGAGATATTAAGAGCAACTGGAATAAATGGATCGACTGGAAATGAACAATGTTTATTTCAAGAGCTTTTTCTCCTTCTCTGGAGGATGCTTGGGAGCATAAAATCTTTAGAAAGAATATTCTCTCCCCAGAAGCATCCAGGCCATGGTTGTCTCAAAGTGCTTTTTCCAAAAGGACTTTCTTGTTTTTTTGTTTGAAAACATTTTGCTTCTCACCCAAGAAGCTTCTTCGCTTCTAACTTATTGCTGAGGGATGGAAGGATTTAGATTCTTTGCAGTTATCTCCTCATTAGCACTCTTTCTGAGAGTTGTTGAGGCCACCTGGGCATTCATCTGTATCCTCTGAGTCATCTGAATCAGAATGTAGATGGGCGTGGAACTTCCTTGAGACTGCTGAAAATTCCATACTTGTTTACATTCTGATTCAGGTGACCCCGAGAATACAGATGAACCCCCCAAGTGGCCTCAATGACCCCCCAGAGAGCTAGCAAGCAACCCTCAGATCAGAAAACTGCAAAGAATATAAATTCTTTCATTCCCCACCAATCAGTTAGAAGTGAAGAAGCTTCTTGGATGAGAAGGGAAATGTTTTCAAAAGGAAAAAAAAAACCAGGAAAGTCCAGTTGCCTTTTGGAAAAATCACCTCTGGGCCCTCTTCCCAGACATCATTTATTGTTGTCTGGAGAACAGGTTCTTAAAGGCATTGTTGTAATTCTTGTTGAAGGCTGTATAGATCAAAGGGTTGAAAAAAGAATTGGAATATCCGAGCCAAAGGAAAACACTTTTGCAGGTTGGGGGGATGTCACAGGAACAGAGGGAGCTGATGAGTTCAGTGATGAAGAAGGGGATCCAGCAGAGGACAAAGACCCCAATGAGGATGCCCACCATGAGGGCAGATTTTCTCTCTTTCTGCTCCCTCCAAGTGTCTCCATCCGTTTGAAACGTCACCGTGGCATGGCGGGCAGTGAACACCATCTGAGGATGCTGAGAATCAACCTGCGAAATAGAAATAGCATTTTTAGATTATTGCTTCGCTGCCCAACGTTGTTCTGATGCCGAGCATGAAAGCATTCCCTGAAAGGAGGGTAATAAGATGGGGAAGCCAGATTCACTGAACGGCTGTGTTACTATGTTAATAACGGCAGTGATTCGTTTAACAACTGCGGCAAGAAAAATCTTAAAATGGAACAAAGTTCACTTATCTGTCTTGCTTAGTAACAGAAATGTTGGGCTCAACTGTGGACATAAGTCAAGGATTACCTGTACAGTACTGGAAGTTCAGTGTGGCACACTGTCTTCAAATTTACATGTATGATTGCATGTTATATCTTTATTCCTTAAGATAGGGGTAGGCAACCTTGGCTCTTTTATGACTCGTGGACTTCAACTCCCAGAATTCCTGAGCCAGCCATGCTGAGGGGAAAGGAAGAGGTTTCCATGCTGAGCCATGCTGGCTCAGGAATTCTGGGAGTTGAAGTCCACCAGTCATAAAAGAGCCAAGGTGGCCTACCCCTGCCTTAAGACATGTTCTTAGACAATTAAACCAGCTGGATGACTTTGGACCTAACATTCTCTCTCAGCCCAACCCACCTTACAGGATTATTTTTATGGGAAAATTAGGAGGAGGAAGGAGCATTAGGTATGTTCGCTGCCTTATTTATAACAATAATAATAAAGAAGGAATAAAAATCAACTAATGAATTAAATAAATAGAATTATGTCCGTGCGATATCTATTATAATATTTATTGGCTTAAACCAAGAATCATAGCTCACTGCAAGGAACCAGCAAAATAAAATATTGGAGTATTCAAAGAAATTTTTTGGGCTCCTGATTATCTGGTCCAGCATGTTGTTGTTGTTAATTGCAAAGTCGTGTCCAACCCATTGCGACCCCATGGACAACATTCCTCCAGGTCTTCCTGTCCTCTACCATCTTCTGGAGTCCATTTAAGTTCACACCTATTGCTTCAGTGACTCCATCCAGCCATCTCGTTCTCTGTCGTCCCCTTCTTCTATTGCCCTCAATCTTTCCCAGCATTAGGCCCTTCTCCAGTGAGTCCTTCCTTCTCATTAGGTGGCCAAAGTATTTGAGTTTCAACTTCAGGATCTGGCCTTCTAAAGAGCAGTCGGGGTTGATCTCTTCTAGGACTGACCGGTTCGAACGCCTTGCAGTCCAAGGGACTCACAGGAGTCTTCTCCAGCACCATACTTCCTCTTAATTATATGCCAGCATTATTAATTCTGATAATACTAAAAGAAAGATTTATTTAACATACAGTGAAGCAAGCTCTCTTGCAAAGTTTTAGTTGATGCATTAACAGCAAATATATCAGAACTGCCTGCCATGTTTGCCTGTGAATTTTCCCAATTGATGTTTTCGTTTGCGCAAAAAGATCTCTGGAAGAAGACTGAAACTGCCAGAAGGCTGTGCTGACTCACTCCCAGGGGAATTCTGGGGTCTCTTTGCTTCCACAGCAAGATTACTTCTCCAGAATTGAAGAGGTGGGGACAAAGTATTCACCCCTCCCCCCAGAGATGAGATGACAGCAACCTCCTATAAAAAAAAAACAAATAGAGATGTATTTGCTTGGATCAAATGACTGCAACATCAAGCAACAGAAAGCTGCAGCATGAGTAACATTACTACAGTTCCTACAATCTGGAAAAATCCTAGAACATCTCTGCTATTATTTACACCTGTTTCCCTTTTCACCCATCTGAAGGAACGTTGTATTCCAGTGTTTCTCAACTTTAGCATCTTGGAGAGATGTGGACTTCCACTCCCAGAATTCCCCAGCCAGCAAGCCACTTGCAGTCCACACCTTTTCAAGTTGCAAAGGTTCAGAAAGACTTGTGTATTCCCACAAAATCTCAACCACTTTCCCTTTTTTAAGTGCTACAAGTCTTTCGGCGTGATGTGTCTTCTCCTTCCTGACCTTGTTATTTTGCTCAGAAGACAAAAGTTAGGTGGGCAGATTGCAGTTTTTGCCTGCAAAAGGGTATCCAGGAATGGCAGTGGTGGACTTGGTTAGTGGTTAAACCTGGCAGCTGCGGAATTCTGGAAGTTGAAGTCTTTAAACTGCCAAGGTTGAAAAACACTGTGAGAACTGGACACGGAACCACTGATTGGTTCAAAATTGGAAAAGGAGTCCGGCAAGGCTGTATACTGTCGCCCTGCCTATTTAACTTATATGCTGAGCACATCATGAGAAAGGCAGGGCTAGATGAATCAAAAGTTGGAATTAAGATTGCCAGGAGAAATATCAACAACCTAAGATATGCAGATGATACCACGCTAATGGCAGAACGTGAAGAGGAACTAAAGAGCCTCTTGATGCGGGTGAAGAAGGAGAATGCAAAAGTTGGCTTGAAACTCAGCATTAAGAAAACCAAAATCATGGCATCCGGCCCTCTCAATTCCTGGCAAATAGATGGGGAAGAAATGGAGGTAGTGACAGATTTTATTTTTCTGGGCTCCAAGATCACCTCAGATGGGGACTGCAGCCAAGAAATTAAAAGACGCTTGCTCCTGGGGAGGAAAGCTATGGCAAATCTAGACAGCATTCTAAAAAGCAGAGACATCACCCTGCCAACAAAAGTGCGTATAGTCCAGGCCATGGTTTTCCCAGTTGCAATGTATGGCTGTGGACGTTGGACCATAAGAAAGGTTAAGCGCAAAAGAATTGAGGCCTTTGAACTATGGTGCTGGAGAAGACTCTTGCAAGTCCCTTGGACTGCAAGGTGTTCAAACCGGTCAGTCCTAGAAGAGATCAACCCCAACTGCTCTTTAGAAGGCCAGATCCTGAAGTTGAAACTCAAGTACTTTGGCCACCTAATGAGAAGGAAGGACTCACTGGAGAAGACCCTAATGCTGGGAAAGATTGAGGGCAATAGAAGAAGGGGACGACAAAGAATGAGATGGCTGGATGGAGTCACTGAAGCAGTAGGTGAGAACTTAAATGGACTCCAGAAGATGGTAGAGGACAGGAAGACCTGGAGGAATGTTGTCCATGGGGTCGCAATGGGTCGGACACAACTTTGCAATTAACAACAACAACAACAACAACATTCCTTAAAATACAAATGCTGATTTTTTTCATGATTGTGTATTTTATTCATGACTTCCAGCAGTTCAGGGCAGCCTGTATAGAACATTCCTGCCTCTAATTTTCTCCTGCAACACATCTGGGCTGGGAGTGTCTGGCCAGGACACTCATCCAGGAAAGGTGAGCTTGAATTTCTCAGCCCTTGACACAAATCACAATTCTAATTCCTGTGCTATCGTTTCCCATTCTGGCTTCCCCAGATTTACACAAGGAGAGCAATTCCTATCTCTCATTATTTGCAAAACTTTCTCTAAGCCCCCCCTCCAAACGTCTACCAACCTGGGCACCACACACAACTTTGCCCACCAATGGCAGTCTGGTGGCTTTGAGATATTTTTTGTTCTGTCACCCAGAGATGGAAAACATCAAGACTTTCCAGTACAAAACCTGTTGCTAATTCAACATTCAGTCCCAGCCACAGGACTTTTAGCTCACGGCTTAATAATGTGGGATTGAAGTCTCAGGCTCTTGAGTGCCTGTAGGTAGTGAGGATTAGCCTGTGGGTGGTGAGGATCAGAGCTGTGGTGGCGCAGTGGATAGACTGCAGTACTGCAGGCTACTTCTGCTGACTCCTGGCTGCCAGCAGAGTCTCACTGGCTCAAGATTGATTCAGCCTTCCATCCTTCCAAGAATGGTAAAATGAGGACCCAGATTGTTGGAGAGGCAATAGGCTGACTCTGTAAACCACTTAGAGAGGCTGTAAAGCACTGTGAAGCGGTATATAAGTCTAAGTGCTATTTCTATCAGGGCCCACTTTTGCCAATAGTTGAGAGGCCTTTGGAAGCCAACTGATATATCGAAGGGGCTATCAGGATCAACAAATAAATTTCAAGCAAAAGGACATTTCTACTGGGATTTCTGTGTGCAAACACAGCGCTCACCAAAGATTGATGGGTTCATACACAGAGACACTGAACAGAGTTAGCTTTTAAAATGGCCTAGATCAGGGATAGGCCACCTTGGCTCTTTTATCACTCGTGGACTTCAACTCCCAGAATTCCTGAGCCAGCCTGGCTCAGCTTAGAAACCTCTCCTTTTCCCCTCAACATGGCTGGCTCAGGAATTCTGGGAGTTGAAGTCCACGAGTCATAAAAGAGCCAAGGTTGCCTACCCCTGGCTTAGATGCTAATTAGGTACCAAAAATAAGGAGAATTTTTCACAATAGAGGTGGCGCATTTGTTTAGTGACCATTCAAAATTACAATGACATTGAAAAATAAGCAGTCCTTACACTCACAACCATTGCAGCATCCCCATGGTCATATAATCAAAATTGAGATGTTTGGCAACTGGCATGTACTTATGAAGGTTGCAGTGTCCCGGGGGGGGGTGTCATGTGATCATCTTTTATGACCTTCTGACAAGTAAAGTCAATGGAGAAGCCATTTTCAGTTAACAACTAACTTAACTGCAGTGATTCACTTAACAACTGTGGCAAGAAAGGTCGTAAAATGGGGCAAAGCTCACTTAAGAACTATCTTGTTTAGCAATGGAAATTGGGGACTCAATTGTAGTCATAAGTCGAGAACGTATTGTAAATTAAGAACCTGGACAACACCAAGAGGCTCAGTCTGGCCAGAATAATAATAATAATAATAAAGGTGCAGTTAAAGTTAAATAAAACCAAATTAAGATATGGGAGGATTTTTTTTTTATTACACTGAAAAAAAACCCTACTATCTTTCTTCCTGCAAGCGAAAGAAAGGGTGATTTGGGAGGGATAAACGATTATATACAAAAAGATTAGGCAGCGCCAGTCCTGTCAATCTCAGCAACCATCTCCAAAGTAGCTTTTCAATTACAGAAAAGTAATGAAGGGAAACGGATTAGTTTGCAACGCTTGAGTTTGTTCCAAGAAGCTTATGTTATCCTGGCCGTGGCTGAGCGTGAATACGAAGCCAGAAACCTCAACCTAATCACATCCACAGCCACAAATGGTATAAATAGTCCTTGTTCTGGGCATAAATCATTTATGGGTTTACAACACAGGATCTATTTTCAGGCAGAATTTCAAAGCCTCTTTAAGATGTGGGGACTTCAAAACCCAGAATTCCCCAGCCAGCCAGGGGATATACGCTCACCCTGCCACAGGGTGTAAACAGTGAGCATGTGCTGTTCACAATTCCAGGCAGCCTGGGGCAGGCAGAGCAGCTGTTTACACATTCAGGCCAGATAAAGAGAATCTATTGAAAGGCCCAAAGCAAACAAATGAATGGAAAAAAGGCAAACTCGAGCGAAGTTTGTGTAGACTGGGTCCCCTCCTTGCCATGCTTAGAACTTTGTTCCTCGTCACGTTGTGTGTAGGAAATACATGGCAGAAAGGGTCTCATGAAGGGGCAATAAATGCCAATTCTGTGGGGTGGGGGTTGATAATGTCCTACCTTAGAGCAGAGGTCCCCAATCTTTTGGGCACCAGGGACCGGTTTATGTGGAGAGAGGTTTTTCCACAGAGTGGAGGGTGCGTGGTTTTGTGGGCTGCCTGCATCCTGTGGATGGGGCTTTGCTTGTTTGTGTGGACCAGTTGCTGGCATGCCGTGGCCCAGTATCGATCCATGGACCAGGGGTTGGGGACCCCTGCCTTAGAGGATGAAATATCTAACCTTTCAATTAATGAGAACAAGAAAGTTGAAGTTCAGGGGCATCACAAACAGGCAGTCTTTGACTTATGAACAGTCATTTAGCAACCATTGAAAGTTACAATGGACCTCCTTGGTCAAATCCTTATGACCAGGTTTTGAGGTTCTAACAGTGCCCCCCCTCCACAGTCAAATGACTGCACTGTGAGTGCTCAGCAACCAGTTTTTTAAGGGGCTGCCACAAAGAAGAGGGGTCAACCTATTTACCAAAGCACCAGAAGGCAGGAGAAGAAACAATGGTTGGAAACCGACCAAAGAAAGAAGCAACCTGGATTTAAGGAAAAACTTCCTAACAGGGAGGACAATTAACCAGTGGAACAGCTTGCTTCCAGAAATCGTAGGTGCTCCATCACTGGAAGTTTTTAAGAAAAGATTGGACAACCATTTATCTGAAATGGTATAGGGACTCCTGCTTGAGGAGAGGGCTGGACTAGAAGACCTCCAAGGTCCCTTCCAGTTCTACTCTTTAAATAAGCATTGATGAATGTTTGCAGCATCCTGCAGTCATGTGACCAGATTATTTTCACCCCCACTTTTGCCAAAAAATGACATTTACTTCCATATTTCAGGGGAAAAAAACATACCCATAGCAAAACGTTGGGTAATTTGTGTAATGATTATGACATTTGGCTGCAAAAAAGGCTGTAAAATCAGATCCGTCACTTGGGTGATCCAATTTATGACTGTCACAAGTTATGACCACGATGGGCAGAATCCATTATGTTTGTAACTCAAGGACTACCTGTATATGCTGTACATAACAGTCCAAAAATATACCTGGGAAAGATATAATCTCCCCAAATATCCAGGGAGAGCAGAAAAACAGGAAAATAACTACTAGATGAAGCTAGTAGTTTGATTTGATTGAATTAACCTTCCTAGTTTGAGTGGTCAGGAAAAATTTAATCTGTTGATTCCTGCTTGCTAATCTGTCTTTCTCTTAAAAAGCTGGCACAGCAATGAAATAAATCTGGGGAAGTTCTCTTTTAGTGGAAGCTGCTTTTTTTCCAAATTGATAGTCAAGTTTCTAATTGAGCTGAAGGGCAAATATCAACCAATTTAAAGTTGATCCACAAAATTCAAGAAATGGGATTAAGGATCACATTGGTTCAAAGCCTACAAAATACAAATTATTTTGCAGTTTTTGATTTAAATCTTCAAAACAAAAGAGAATTGAGAAAATATTAGATATTGAGATCACCCCTTTGAGTTATATAACATATATGAAAAGTGCAATTTAAAAAATCTAGCAAATAATAATAATAAGCTGCTTTTGTATGATTAGGCATCTGGTTAGAAAGTGGGAAACCCCAAGTTCTAGTCCTGTTTTAGGCATGAAAACTGGCTGGGTGATTTTGAGCCAGTCACCAATCACCAATTGTTGTGTGAGTTTTAGTCCTACCTTAAGCACAAACTCAGCAGGGTGATGTTGGGCCAGTCACTCTCTCTCAGCCCTAGGAAGGGGGCAAGGGCAAATCACTTCTGAAAAACATTACCAAGAAAACTGACCGATCTATCCAAAAAAAAGCCAGGAGTCAGCACTGACTCTAGCTGGTTGTGCGACTAGCCCTAATAATAATAATAATAATGAATCATGGTTCATGAGCACTGCTAAGCTGAGATCTGCATAAGTCCACAATTGCCAGCAACGTGGTAAACCATTGCTTAAATAAAGTAAGGGTCAGCCAAAGACTGAATGAAGGCTGCACTCTAAATCTTTGTGCTATGCTGAAAGAGTGGCAGCTGAAAGAATGGCCAGAGCACTAACCTCTAGAGCTCCAGGTGTAATGGGACTGATGGAATTGCTCTTGCGGGATCCAATGCGAAACCTGGCTGCTTTGTAGATCTTCCAGTAGACAAACAGCACAACGCAGAGAGGCACATAAAAAGCTCCACAGGTTGAAAAGACGGTGTACGAAGGCTCTCGGCTGACTTGGCACTCAGCATTGCCCTCGGAATAAGTCTCTCCCCAGCCAAAGAGCAGCGGAGCCAAGGAGATGATAGCAGACAGCAGCCAAGTCAGAGCAATCATAACATTGGAAATGCACCGGCGGGTCTTCAGCGTGTACTCCAGATGCCGTGTTATGGACCAGTAACGATCCAGTGCAATGGCTGTAACGTTCCAGATGCTGGCCGTGCAGCACAGCACGTCACAAGAAACCCAGATCTGGCACAGTAGCCTCCCCAGACGCCAGCGATGGCCGGACAATTCATACATCAGGCTGAGGGGCATCACCAAAGCGGCCACCATCACATCAGAGATGGCCATGGAGGCTACCAGGTTATGGGGCACCCTGTGAAAAGTACGCACCCGCAAGATGGTAGCCAGCACCAGCAGGTTCCAAAGGAAGGTGGCAACCCCCAGCATTGCCAGCAAAGTCAAGATGAGGACTTTGAAGATTGACAAAGGTCTACCCATGCCAGAGGGGCTGGGCAGGAGGCCAGGATCGGTCCAGTTGGGCTCTGCCAAGGTGGTGGCAGAGAAACAGGTGAAGTTGGCAGAGCGGTCCATCCTGCAGGGATGAATGGAGAAGATCTGCAGATGAGGACAAGAGACTGAGAGGCTTCTTCTGGGTTTAATGTCCTACAATAATTTCTCCAGTAGCGTTCTTATGAAGGAAGTTATTGTGGGAGGTGGCTCTTATTTGAGAAGCTGGTGCTCTGCCATGTGGCTGGTTCCAGCAGCATCAACCTATCAGTTGTAAACATGAATTGTCTCAAGAATTTGGCCACAAATCATCCTGAAGTCATGTTAGAATTTCTGCCCCTGTAAACCGCAGGAAGGGAAAGAAAAAAGAAAAAAAGAGCAGCCAGATTATTAAGGAGAGAAGTCTGTCTGAAGCTGCCCTGCCTGCTTATCTACAGCTACTTTTGCAACAACAGATAGTCAGGTTAAACAAGGCTGATGTTTTATAAACAAAGCAGAAAAGTGGAACTGAGATATCTCCAATTGTATTGCTATGTAGAAGAGTGTCCATCCTCCGCAAGCAGGAATCTGTAGCTCCCTGATCACCTTGTCTTGCTGGAATCAACCCTATTTAGCCTGATTTAATACTAGCAGCTATTTGGCAATCCTGGCTGATCCCCAAAGCTAAGGACATTTGGATGGGGTTAGTACTTGAATGGTTGACCACTAGGAAACCCAAAAGTATAAGGCAGATTGGGAAGTTAAAAAAAACTCTCAGAAGAATAGGGTAAGTCACTTCCCTAACTGCTGCCAAAAAAGGTGAATGAAGAAGATAAATGCAATGTCACCAACAATCAATCTCAATACGAGGAAGAATTAAACCACAGTAAATGGAGGCATCTAGCTGACCCCTGCAGAAGCTGGGAAGCCTGACCTGGATGTATTGGGACGAGTCAGACACCCTGAGGTATGTGTTAGTTCTTCACTGGTAATGAATACTGGGAAAAGAAAAGGTTCCCCTTCCAATAAAACAACAGAGTAACAGTTCTCCTTGCATAAAGCTAAGTCTAAGAAGATGCTATCAAAGCATAGATGCTTTCCCCCTGTGCCTTTCTAGACTGTGTTTCAAGAACACATTTAAAATAAAACCTTTCAGGTTTGTGAAAATTTGTCTGCAACCTCAGAGGCAGCAAGGCTTTTAATATCCTTATGCTAAACCAGTTAACACAAGGAAAGCCTAAATGTGAACCATGATAGTAATTCAGCAGCATTAGCTTCAAGTTTATGATAAAAGAGAAAGAAAAAAGCAGCAGCACAAAGACATCAGTTTAAGGACAGCCCCGAGTGTGATGGGATGGAAAGGGGGAGGGACAGGATCATTCAAGGGAAAACTGTGTCCCTGAAAATCATGATCATCAAATTGAGTTTCCATTCTTGGATATAGCGAATTTCCTGGAAAGCAATAAATGGAAGAGGTATGGTCTTGTATTCGCTTTCCTCTTTGGACTTCCCAGCTACACCTCAGATCTGGGATTTCTACGTGGTCTCTTGTCCAGATCAGTTTCGGGTATCTTAGGCTACCTCTTTGAGTCAGACGGGTCTCCAGCCCTTCAAAAAGCAGACCCTTTGCTAAGCAAAGGAGTGGGGTTGACCTCCGCACACAACTAGCCACACTTTTCCCCACCGCGACGCAACAAAGACTGGAAGAGCCTCCAGCAGCAACCCACGCGCACGCAGACCCACTTCTGGTACTTTTAAGACACAGGAGTGGCTGGGCCTTTCCGATTTTCGGAATCGACGGAGGAAGGAGAGTCCGGACAAAAGGTGGGTATGGACCTTCTGGGAGGGTGGATTAGATGGACTAGGTTCTCTGTCTCCCGTCGACAAAGCGGAGCTACCAACCTCAGGTCGGCGTCTAGCAGAAAGCCTCCGGGGCTTAAATCGAAGCGCCAGGCTTCGGCTGGTGGTCTCGGGCGCGGCTACGGCCAAAAACACGTCCGGGGTGGTCCAGAGAGTCTGCCGGCTCCTTTCGTCCAGCGCGGACGCTGAAGGTTCAGCGCTCTCAGCCCAGCTGGCAAAGCAGGGGAGGCGTATTGTTCCAAGCGATCCCCAGCAGATCCCAGCCCCATCCTGTACACTTCATCTGACGCGATCGTGAAAGTCGCCGCAATCCCGGGCGCGCCTCGCCGGGACCTGGAGCCCAGGGGGAATCGTGCGGTGGCTCCGCCTCCGCTCCACAGCCCCGCCCCCACCTCGCACCACCACCCTAGGCGCGGGAACTAAATACCTGAGCGGGTTCTTCCCATCTCCTCCCCTCCGGCTGCTCCCCAGCCTCTAAGCCGAGGTTGGCTTGTCCAGCTGACGGTCGGCGCCAGGTCCTAGTACAGGCCAGCCAACTAAGGGAGCCCATCGCGTTGCGCCCCCCACCCGGATGGCATCATCTCCCTCCGGAAAGCGGCAACAACTCCGGCGTCTGCCTTCCCCCCTCAGGGGGATTAGGGCTGGAGAAGACCCCCACCGTTCTTCTTCCTCTCTCGCCTTTGATGGAGGAGGGAAGGGGGGGAGAAGTTTGCACGTCCCCCCCCCCATTGGCTTCCCCTCTGTCGCCCACACGCCGCGAGGAGACGCGCGGCACTCATCACATGGGAACGCGTGCATATATGTAGACACGCGCGCAGACACGCGCAGGCAAACGAAGAAAGGGTGGAAATTCCGGCTCCTCTGGCGGAGAAAAATCTTGAATTCGGTGGCAAAGTCAGTCAAAACTGAAAACTGCCCTTCTTTTGAAATGTTAACCGCAAACGTGAAAAGGACCTTAGTTTGTGATACTTTTGTTTTTTGTGTATTACTGGAAAAGAAAAAAGAAAAAGGGATTTTGCGAGGCAGGGGAAACCAGAGGAAGTGTGGTTTCAGGGGATGAATTCCCATGATTCGAACCTGACTTAACGAAACAAACAAATGACACAGACCATGTTTTGGCCGAATTAAAAAAAAAATCAAATTATGGCAGAAAGGCTGGGCAGATTCACACGTTAGTCTTGTGGGTCTCCAGCTGGGGAAAAGTCCTTTAACCATGATTACATAGCATTCTGTGCGGTGCATTTTAATATTGGTGGAAAAGGCTCCAAGATCCCCGCAGATGGGGACTGCAGCCAAGAAATTAAAAGACCCTTGCTCCTGGGGAGGAAAGCTATGGCAAGTCAAGGCCATGGTTTTCCCAGTTGCAATGTATGGATGTGAAAATTGGACCATAAGAAAGACTGAGCAACAAAGAATGGAGGCCTTTGAACTATGGTGCTGGAGAAGACTCCTGCAAGTCCCTTGGACTGCAAGGCGTTCAAACCGGTCAGTCCTAGAAGAGATCAACCCCAACTGCTCTTTAGAAGGCCAGATCCTGAAGTTGAAACTCAAGTGCTTTGGCCACCTAATGAGAAGGAAGGACTCACTGGAGAAGGGCCTAATGCTGGGGAAGATCGAGGGCAAGAGAAGAAGGGGACGACAGAGAATGAGGTGGCTGGATGGAGTCACTGAAGCAGTAGGCGTGAGCTTAAATGGACTCCAGAAGATGGTAGAGCACAGGAAGGCCTGGAGGAACGTTGTCCATGGGGTCGCGATGGGTCAGACACGACTTCGCAATTAACAACAACAATCAGTCTTCTCTTAAACTCTTCCATGTCAAATGAGCCACCTGCTTTTGCATTTTTTAAAAGAAGCAATTCAGTCATAGTGCGGTAAACAATGTTATGAACAACAGAGTAAGCAGGGCAATAAAAGATTTGGATGACAAATGTCACTGGAAGATAAAATCTCTGAAAAAAAAAGAGGTATTTGCTTGAAAGCAGAAAGAGCATTGGCAGGAAACAGATCTCCACAGAGAGAGAAGGATACCCAAATACCCCCCATCATTAAAGCCACCTCCCCTATTACATATCCTTGAAGCTCACTGGCAAATAGCTGTAAAAACTGGCACTTCTTCAGATGCCCAAGTGCCACGTCAGGGTTCAACTTCTGAAAATAAGCCCAAAATGTAGGTGAGGGCTGAAGATAGGAAGCAAAGTGGAAAGGGGCAGAGGGGGGCAGATTGCACCTCTTTTAATCCCCTCCCCCCCTTTTTACCTTTGGGAGTAAGGCAGCTCTTACCTTGCCTGAATTTCTACTTCTCCAACTCAGATTTCTTTCACAGTGTGCCAAACCATAGCTTAGTTACACATTAGTTTATTTATCTTTATTTATTAAATTTCTACAGTGCCCATCTCACCATTTTACCGGGCAGTTTATATGTAGTTTCTTCAAAAGACCACACTGGCTGGACTTACACATCATGCTAAATGATCAAGATGTTTAACAAGCATGCTGGATGGATTCATAGGTTATTGGAGCCAAAACACAACAAATCAGAATATGCTGCTGTGGGATGCGTGAATCCAGTAATTTCTGCGTGACTTTGGTAAACTCTCAAAAATGAACTATCCAGTGGGAGACCTCTGGGTGATGGAAGAAGGTTTTCTGGAGAAATATATAATTCTGGGAAACATGAGAATGAGAGAAAAGAATGATTAGCAGCAAGAGAAATATATAATCAATGTTATCAGAGATGAATGGATCCTAAAAAGTTGTCTTGTATGTACCCGAACCTGTAACCTAAATGTTGGAGATGTGGTTGCTTGGATGCAACCTATTTTCATGTTTGGTGGACTTGTAAAAATATTAAAGCCTTCTGGATTATGATTTGGTGGAACATTCAAAAGGTTTTTAAAAGGAAGATTAAGTTTACTCCCCAGTTGTTTCTTTTGGGTATTTTGGTGGATTTTGATGCTAAAGAAACTATTTTAATGTTGAATTTAATAACAGCAGCAAGATTATTGGTGGGTCAATATTGGAAGAAGGATACTCTGCCTTCTTTAGAAGAATGGGTATTTAAGGTTTCTAATTTAGCAGAAATGGCTAAAATTTCTGCTTATTTAAAGGACCATTCACAAGAGAGATATTTTAATGTATAGAGAAGATGGATAGAATATGTTCAGAAGTATGAAACTACAAAGTTTTATTTATTTTATGAGTAATGAATTTGTTTATAAACTTATGATGTTAAAGTCTGAAGAGAGTTAAGGGTTAGTATGATTTTGGTTATTGTATAATTAGTAAACTTAAATAGATTATGTTTAATATGTTTGTATAACCCTGTACTTTGCTCTGGAAAGTCGGGGGGGGGTGGGGGGAGGGGGGGAGGATGGGTTGAAATTTAAGTAATTCAGATAAGTAGAAATAGTTTTATTGTATATAATATTGATGTTTCAATTTGGAGAGAGGAATTGCTTGGGCATTTCCGGAGCGAGAAGATAGAAGAAGGGGAGAAGCAAGTAGGAGGTTGAGGAGAAGGAGAAGAGGGGGTGAGTGAGGAAGAGGAAGAAGAGGGAAAGAGGCAAGTTGGTTAGAGGGTGGATGCGGTTTCGGGGGAAATGGGTGAGCAATACCGAAAGTGCTGTGTATCAGTTTGTTTTATTTTTTATCTGAAGTATTTTTAAGAATGTAATGTATTGTAAAATTGAAAATAAAAACTTTTTACAAAAAAAAATGTTATCAGAGATGAGTGCATTATTATAAGATCTGAAGAATCAGGTTGGGAATAGATGATCTTGGAAAAAGTGTATCTGTGTGGTGAAAGGCACTGGGCAAAAAGTCAGGAGATTGTGAGTTCTAGTCCCGCCTTCGGCATGAAAGCTGGCTGGGTAACTTTGCGCCAATCACCAGGAGACAGTGAGTTCTAGTCTTGCCTTAGGCATGAAAAACAGTTACGTGACTTTGGGCTGGTACTCTTTCTCAACCTAACCTACCTCACAGGGTTGTGTTTGTGGGAAAAATATAGGAGGAAGGAATACATTTGCCATTTTGAGTTATTTATAAAAATAATAAAAGCAAGATAAAACTAAATAAAAGTTAACACTAACTCAATGGCACCTAATGAATCATCAAACTGTGTACTTTTTCCATCTGAATTCTGTGAAATATCTTTATAGGGAGTTTCCCAAATTACTCTCTTCTTGGTTTTTGCATTCTCTCTTATTATCATTCCCTCTACAGAGGGGAACAAGTGAGGCATTTTTCCAGACTCAGGCACAGATGCGGTCTTCACATACTGTTAATCAGCATCCTTCTGTATTTACAATGTTACATTCTATAAGTAAACCCCTTCTATATTTTAATATTGTTCGGTTACACTGTCCATTTCTGCAATCTTGCTATTTTTCAACCTTCTCACAGGATTTATGATTTACTTTTCACCTTTATTACCTAACAACCTTTATTTGAATTCATCATTCAGCATGAACCGTCATCCCCACCCACATTTCTGAAATACTCCTATTAGCATTCTTCTTCCCAGGTTGCGAAACACAGCAGGTGGGGCTGGTAATGCCTAGAGTTTGGACAAGTGAAGCTACTAAAAACCTGTCAAGGAAACAGATGGCACTCATCACAGAGAACTGATGGTGCTCTGAAATTCAGTCGCCATTGATTTGCGGTGCTTTCTTCTGTGTGCCAAGAAGAGGGATTGATTTGTTCATTGTTGGCAAGTTGAAAAGCATCTAGTGGTGGAATCCATCAGGAAAATGCTAACATCGTGTAAGGATGGTTGACTTGAAAAGATCAAAGGAGGATGCAGAGATTCAGATGCTTTGTTATCTCCACCATCTGCAGCCTTTACAGTACTTTGAACTTATTTTTGAGGGTTGAGTTCAGCGTTTTCCCATCTGGCACCTTCCAGATGTGTTGGATCCGCTACTCCCAGAAGACGCAACCAGCATGGCTTGGGAGTTCTCTGAATGCACAGAGGGGATCAATAAAAGTTTCCCTCTCCCCCCCCCCAGTTATGACCTTTGGTTTTAGAATGAATTTTGCAAACCCATTTCTTTACTCACTTCCCATGCTTTTTAACTATGCCATTTATTTTTTAAAGATAAATGAAGAAGGAATTCAATAGCCATTCAGGGTTTTGTTATTATACCTTGCAACAACAGGGTGCCAGTAGATCTTGCGGCATATGTATCTTGACCTGATCTATTTCCAAACACTGGCATCAATTTTGAAAAGCTCACAGTGATTTCTCTCTTCCTCATCTTATACCAAAGAAAATCAAAGT